GCATAAGTGATTTTGATTTGCAGCGTACAGTAGATGAGGATGAAACAGGAGCTGATGGTGAAGACGAGCATAGGTGGACAAAAAGAACGCAGAATGTTCTAAATTCCATTTCAACTAAAATTAAGGCTTCTGTTGATGGAAAGGTGCATTTTTTGTCACAAATTTTCAATTATAGCAACACTGATTTCGATCATCCTGATAAGGGATGAGTGCCATGCAAATTTCTGTTTAACTTTTTGAATGTGAAATGGATTTTTTCTGGGTTAAAAAATTCGTGTACTTGCAGTGGCAGGTTATGAAAAATTAGCAGCACATGTAAGCAAATCATACGTTTATATTTTCATGATGACATGTACTGTGCGCATTGTTTAGATATTATTTACTGATCTACTTACGAAAGGATCAACACGAAAAACTGCTGCTCAAAAGTTCTCCATGTTGCTTGTTTTAAAAAAATGGCAAGCGATTGATGTACAACAATCAGAACCATATGGCGACATTATAATTTCAGCTGGACCAAATATTACATCTGCAGTATCTTCCTAACTTTACCTCCGCTTTATTTTCATCTTTTTCTAGATTTATTTATATGGAGGTGCGAGATGTAATTTGGTGTAAGAAGGATTCAAAGTTATGAGGGCCACATTAGAACTGAATTAAATATTCACAACATTTTTGATACCACTTGAATGTTTGGTGTCAATTAGGTCAGTTGGTTGAGAAGTTACGAACCATGGTATGAATGATTTTAGTCTTCATTGTGATCATAAATCCATCAAAAACCAGTTGATTAAAGCAATTTAGTAAGTGCTTTGTGAATTTTTTTCGATTCTAAAACCATGCATTATTCATAATGGTACCAGACAAATGCAGCATCAAATCTTTCAAATGCAACTACATTACTTCGAATCTTTAACATGTAGTAGATATATTATGTTCTCAATCCATTTCAGTCCTTCATCAAATTACGTTTCTGAAATAATGTTTTAATCCCAAATTATGATTTTGGACCATCATTTTAGCATATTTTAATATGCGTCTTTTGTTTTTTTGTGTTCAACGCTGTTGTGATTTAAATGTGAATGTGTTCCTGTGAAAAGCTTGCACAATGCTCCTTTATGAGTTTTACTTGAATCTTTGTGGAATTACGGAGCAAAGTTCTTGACTTTGTAAGCTTTAGCTTTCGTACTTCATAATAGATTTGAAATCCGGTTCTACGTTGTTACGAAGCTGTGACATGTGGTCTTTTGTGAGTGAAAAAATTACATGGCTGTATTCTTCCAAAGATGGAATATTATTCTTATAATGTCATCTATAAATTTATTACTTTGAGAAATTTATAATTCTCAATTGTATACATTCTGTAATTAATTAGCACAGCTATAAAGTAGATGACAAGTAGCCTCTTCATGATACATTTTTTTTTTCCTATAGTTATCATATGATTTTAGTTCCCATAAAAATAATGAAAGCCATAGTTGTTATTGCTGATCTCTTTTGTAGAATATTGTTAACTCTTTTCCATTTTCATATGCTCTACTTTCATAAACATTCAACTTTCAATTGAATGAATCAAATGGTTCAAAATTTTTATATACATTTATACTTTCATACTTTTTGTACATTTCTCTCTCTATCTGTCTTACTTGTATGTTTGATTCGATTGAAATAAATTATATATTTCTTTAATAGTTCTTCTTACATCATTTACTGAAACTAATTGTTGTCAACAAAAGTAAAGATCAAAAATTCCAAACATAAATTCATTTTTTTTTGATGCATGATCTGAAAAATGGTCAAAAAGAAAGCGGGAAAGAGAAAGAGGATGAAGTAAATGGGTCATTACTTTAATCAAGCTAAAAGTAGTACGGATGGGTTAATAAATGGTTTTCTCTTTGGTAGCATAGAATTTATCTCTCATAAATTTACTTTGAGTTTTTGTTCAAAATCACAAAAGATAAATTGATTTCAATAAGCTTTTAGGATTAATTAATAGAATGATGCAAAAGTTTTAATTATCAATTAAAATGATGAGTGTATGTGACGTTTAATGGAAATGTTAAAATTGGAATTGGTTAAATTTAATATTGGAAATTATGAAATGTAGAAAAAGCATAGGATTAATAGCAGTGTTTAAAAATATCGTCCATTTTTTTTTTTTGAAATTACTATATTTGATAAAGTTAATAATGTTTATTGATTTAATCATTTAACATTTCAAAATATTATTTATTTTATTCATTAATAATTTATGGCATATTTGAAATTATATCTGAATATCTACAGGATAAATAAGTAATGTGATAGACCGCATAAATAAAAATCTGGTGTATTTCATCCTACGAATGAATTACTGGTTTGGTATATCTGGTAGATTGCATGAATAAATTTCTGGTGTATTTTTTTTCCTCATTCTTCTCGTTCTGAACAAGAGGGATAGGTATATTTGGTAGAGTGCAAAAATAAATCACTGATGTATTTCTTTGTATTCATCTTATTCTAAATAAGAATAAATTATGGGATAGTGAATTATGCAAATTAATTAACATAATTATAAATAATTATGATATTTGATGTAATTGATTATATTCTAAATGAGAATGAATTACCTGTTTGATTATGATATTACAAGAGAATATGATAAGATGAAAGATCTAATAATAATAATTGATAGCTTATAAAAATATTGTGATTGTAACAATAATTAAATAATAATTAATTAGCATAAGTACAAGTAATTATTATAAGTAGAAGCAAAGTAAATATTGTAACAATAAATTAATAAAATTTATCAGTTACTTGAAATATTAACGGATTTAAGGGATAGGTGCAATTTGATGGATTTCATTTTAGTAAAGATAAAACAATCCTCATTTAGGCTACCTGTCCAATATTGTTTCCCTTCATTAATTAAAATGAATTATAATGAACAATGGTAATGTTATAGTATTAAATAGCATTCTAACATCATTTTATATTTTGTTCAAAAAAGTTTTTTTAATTCTTTCAAAATTTTATTAAAATTTCAGCAAAATGGAAATTTCGTCACCATTAAAAAATGCATTAATTTATGGAAGATTTTTATTAAATATTATTGCCTTCATTTGGTTTCTTATTGCTCTTACAATCTATTGGAATTCACCATATCAGGTAACTAACTTTCTTCTCGTAATTTTATCTTAATAATGCTAATTCTTTTTCTTTTCAAAATCTTTAATTAATATTCGATATCTAAATTTTATCGTAATAATAATAAAAAAATTTTTCCAAATTTTTTAATTAATATTTAATTTCTAAGCTTTATCCTAGTAATATACAAAAATTTTATCTTAATAATATCTAAATTTTTTTTTGGAATTCCATAAAAAATAATATCAATTTGGCAAATGAATGCATCGTAGAAAATAACGTCACATACGTTATTAATGTTTAAGATAACTTTACGTACGTCATTGTTGTAAAAGGTAGCGTCACGTACGTCACTATTGTAAAAGATAACGTTACGTATGTCATTGATTGTAGGCAAATGCTATAAAAAAAGAAAAAAATAGTTGTAATTTAATGATAAGTAAAATCAAATGAAAAGTATTAAATATAGTGCTATGAAATCATAAATCTTTTTTTTATCATCAAAAACATTCCATCTAATACAATTTGCATTAACTCAAATGAAATTATTTTAATTATCATTTGATAATTAATTAAAAGTTTTTTTTCTTTTTCTTTTTTAGGCAACTTCATTACATGAATATCGTTGGTTGTTATCATCAATGATTATTACATCATTCTTCATTTATCTTTTCATTAAAACACATTCAATGATAATTTTCATAGCATCATATGTATCAACTCATTACACATTCATATACAATATCGTATCGATAATATTTACTGCAATCAATTCATTTCATATTTTAACAATTTGGTCTGATGAAGAACGTGATGAGGCAAAAATTTTTCTACAAATGAATGTTTTTCTTGGTTTGATATCATTGTTTAATGTATTTTTAACTTATTATTTACTCAAATATTTAATTAAAATAGCACAAAATACGGAGGAAAATATGCAACCATTTGAGCGCAAACGTCAAATTATAGTAAGTTTTTTCTTTTTTTTAAATGTAATCTTCAAACGTGTATTTTTGCATAATTTTAAATTTAAATTTCAATTCCAATTTAAATTTAAATTAAAATTAAAGACTTTGGGGAATTCATACAATATATATTTTTTTTATTGCATTGCTCAATTAAACACATATACATTTGTAATATTTTTATTGCTAAATAATTAATTTTTTAGTTCTGTTCCATACTTCATCTTTTCCTTGGATTATTAAATTTTGCAATTTGTTACGAAATGCACGCAAATGCTCCGTAAGTAATTGATTTAAATAATTACATTATCATTCATTAGCTCAAAAAAAAAAATAAACTATGGATGTCAACTTATTTAAACCAGTTTTATATGACATATGTTAATATTAATTATATCTTAATTAATAATCCCTTTACTCGTTAACTTATTTTTATATTTACATCTTTTTTTTTCTTTTACATACTTCGCATTTACATGTTTTTTTTGTTTTTGAATAATTTCGTCATTTGCGTTACGTTTACGCGTAATTTCTTTTTTAATATTTCATATTTAGACGTATTGTTTGGCTATCCATCACTCCATAATTTATTTTATGTCTACATATAATTTCTTTTACGTATTTCACATTTCAAAGTGTTTGCTTACGTCATTTACGTGTTATGTTTATGTACGCTTATCACTATTCATCTTAAATTAATTAAGAAAATTAATTGGCAGAATAGCTTGAAGAGATATCAAAGAGGTGGAAAAAAAAAGATGAAAAACTACATTTGCATTTTGCAGTTACTCGTCATCATTTGTCGTACAGCAAGTTTGTTGCACATGTTTATCGCTATCAATTGCATACATGCAATGGTATTTTTGTGATGCATGCAACACGCATATTTTACGCGCAATTATTATTATGAATGTTTGCCAATTTTTGCAAGAAGTAACATATGCATATAGTAACTATGTGCTACTTATGGTTATGGGACGAAAAAACGATATTCTAAACCGATTCTCGGATGAAACTAAAGTAATTACACTTAATATATTTTGTATTCTTTTAAAAAACAAAAACAATTCATATTACTTATTTTAATTTTAATTAAAAATTTAAGTAATTAAAAAATTTAGTAGGATTATTTATTTGCATAATGAAATTACCCAATAAATACTTTTTTTCATTGTTTCTTTTTCTAAATAAATTACTGAATAATAAAAAAAAAGGAAAAATAATAATTAAGCTTTTTTTTTTGAATTAACTAAACCAACAATAATTTCCTTAGTACTTATCAAATTAAAATCTTTATCGGATTATTTATACTTTTTATTCATTCCATCTTATAACACTTTTCCATTTGATATTTTGTCCGGAAAATATCAAATCCTGTAATACATACTGAATTATATTTGGAATGTATATAAAAAGAAGAAAAGAAAAAATTATTTCACTTAACTTTTAATTCATTTTATGGGAATTTATATTAAGAATAAAAGTTTTTTCAGTTAACTTTTAAAATTTCAAAAATTATTTACTTCAATTGAAAAAAAAACTTTAATCGTTTTTTTTTTTCATTAAAGGCTTTCCGCTTATTAATTGGCTCACTTGTAATTCACGGTTTACGACTCATTGCATGCGCATATCCTGTAGCTGTTCTTGCAATTAAAGCTTTTCCGGGTGAAATTTTATGTCGTATCCGGTTTTCACCGAATCCTCAACGTGGAGTTAGCACTGCGCAGGCTAGACAAGCTGATAATACTGGTTTTAATTTATAATTCATGATTTT